AGCCTGTCAGCGATGTGGATCAGCTGCGTATATACGAATGTGAATCGCATCATTGGCTGGACTGTGGGATAAGGTGGCATCGTTCTAATCCCATACTGGAGCAGCCAGTCACTGACTAACACTGCCAAACAGAATTGTTAAAGTTTTAATTTTAATTTCAATTCAGCTTGGATTTTTTTTTGTGCGCAACACAGATTTTCTCTGCGCAGAGACCGTGCCAGTAGTGCACAATTGCACACGTGCGCAGCTTAGAGGGAACACTGATCGCAGTGTGCAGCTGTGTGGACTGGAGCAAGACAGTGAAAAGCGTGAGTGGCAGAAGAGGATTTATGGCAGACTGAGGAGCGTGTCGTGGAGTGCTTCTGAACGGAGAAGAGAGTAGACGAGCTCGCACTGAAGATTTGAGTATGTGGACTAACCGCCCTGTTGTGGAAGTTTTCCATTAAATAAAGCCTGCAGACGAGCGGTGAGCGGTAGCAAACATTCTTTAATCAAAAACAAAGAACAGACAAACCAAATTTCTGGAGAGCCTGCATGATCGCGGGGCAGACGGTCAGCAGAGTCTCTCTGAGCCTAGCATGGCTCTCAGTTAAATACCTTTCACAGGAACAAAAGGCAGTACACAGCTGTTTCACACTCCCTTGCTACCTCCCAGAGTCCTCGAAGAGACAAAAGACTTCCTGTGGAGCTGTCTGCTTCCCCCAACTTCCTTACTAGACCCCCACCATTTGTCTTACTGTATGAGTGTGAGACATGTTAAAATCCAGTGGCACCAAGGCATTATACAATAAAATAATGTGAATGATACATAAATAAAAGAAATTCCTCTCCTCCCCCCGGATCCCTGGATCCTGCTCGTCACTTGTATATACAGTTGCACTTTGGTGATTTGTGCGAATAAACTGTGAACTCTTGTTTTTCAGGCTGGATCTGCACTTAAATCCATTCAGTCTTGCTTGACACCTGCTAGCGAATCTGGTGGATTTGGTGACAGATTTGTTTTGATGTAGAATATTTAGAAGCTGTGTCATTGTTGTAAAGAACTGTGAAGGTTCTCAGTCATCCAGGTCATCGTAGTCAAAGGAGCTTGCAAAGAAAAGCGTCTGGACTTCTTTAAGTTGCTTGAAGACGTTTCACC